AGAAAACTAAACCATCTGTTACAAAAATATTAGATGCCTTTTTGCTAAACCTAATAAGCCGCAAAAAGATATAAAAGAAAAAAGAACAATCTGAAAAAAAACGTTATTTTTGACCAAAAACTTAAAAATCAATGTAATTATAATTTTTCATCAGAAAAATGAAATGCTTGACTAATAACTTTGGATCGAAATATTTAAGTCAAGAAATGTCATTTACTTCAGATCTGAGGAATATAAAATATTTTTCAACACCATTTTCGCAAGACGCAAAGCCTAAATAGTGTTAGTGATTGAAAATATTAAAAGGTCTTAAAAATGATTAAAAAGCAGTATTTGAAAAAGCTCATAATGATTATGATCTTTGCCTCTCGAAATATAGCTTATGATGGATCAAAAAAGGCATGTCATGTCATTGTCAAGCAAAAGTCAAAAGCTCAAACCCTTTTTTAAACCCCTTTTTTAAAATGGTACGAAGTGATTCGAAAGTCGCGACGACGATCTCTCTCAAATTTATTTGTAATAAATTCTTTCACTTAAGTGATGTTAAACTCATTTGAGGATATTTGAGACCTATAACAAGTATGCGTATCTTACCTCAAATCTTGATCATTTTTGAATTTTGATATTGTATATTTATTTATATTGACTGTTTTTAACCATTTCACGATACACGAAATTCCGTTTGCAATAAAAAACGTGTTAAAAGAACTATTACATGGAGCGTAGTAAAAAAGCTTGACATAACACACTCCACCCTAACTCCAGGTTAGCAGAAAATATTTTGCAACAAAAATAAAAATTTGTTAGATAAATTACGATTTTCTTAGTTTTGGTGCTGAAATAAAATTTGCCACGGGCGGCACGGTGAGTTCGATAATTAAAAAATTAAATCAGTATTTGTTTAATAATGAATTAGTTGATACAACAGTAGATTCATGGCTGATGTTGGCGCAGTGGTAGAACACTCGCCTGTTAGGTCAGGATCCGTTGGTTCGATGTCTGCCATAAGAAGTCTAATGACGAGATGTGTTGATCTAAAAAACAGCTGTTACTTATATCACATTTATTTGTTGTATAACAAAAATATGCATTTCATACAAACAAATAAAGCCATTATCTCACTTAAATCTTATAATTTAAAATTTTATGTTTTATTTAATATAAAAATATAAACAAAATTGAGATGTAAGCAATACTTTATTTGAGCTTTTAAGAAAGTAGCTTAGACAAGTACCACTGCGCACTGGCAGTTCTGATTAGTCAGTTTTATGGAGACAAGGCTAACATCTAAACTAACTTAAATATCTTAAAAAAAATATGTTTGTACACTGATAATTTTCAGTTTTGAGCGGCATTATTATTCAATGCTTTTAAATTATTCAATGAAAGCATTGTTCTTGGAGACTCGTCCGTTGCTGAATTCCGGTAATTTAATATTTTAGGTGATTATTTAAAAATCAAACCACTTTTTACCTTTGTCCCGTTCGACATGATAGAAATCTCTTTTGATACCTTGCTGAAGTAATCACTGACTGTTTAGTTAGTTTTCCATGCAGTGTTTACTTAAACAATTTGCATGTCTCTTAAGCTATTTTTCATCATTCGCTCCTTTCATGAGTCAAAACAAAAGAGGAACTAAATATGCATGCTTGTTGTTGATATATAATTTGTTATAAAACTACATAAATGCAAAACTAGTCAAGTCTCACAACTGTTGGGCTTTAAGTGATGTTTATGTGACAGCTCATGTGAATTTTCTCGAACAAACTTACACAAATATGGAAAACATGTTTGAGTGCGAGTGTGTGTGGGCGCTTGTCAGCTCATAACATGCTTGACAAGTTAGATTGGCTTTTATTGCTTTGATGCGGTGTCGGTTGTTTACTCGCCTTCACCTAAACTCGGTTTTATTTGATTCTTTTCTTTCTATTTCTTAAGTTAAGTTCAGCCTTCCGCAGAGCAAAGGTGCTGTTAGCAGTGTCGTAGCTGAAAAATACATATGTATATATATATTGCAGTGCATTGTATATATTTTTTTATTTCCTTCAAAATGATGTGCATATATGTATATACTCAGGTGTTTTTAGTGCAAATAACCTGCAGCCATTTTAGAAATATCAAAAGTAAAGTTATGCTCTTGCTTAAATTTGTATGTATGTTTGTAGAAACAATACAAGCAGTATATTTGCTGAGAAATTTAGACAAAAGCTTATGCAAAAGCTTTTGTTTACAAAATCATGTTTGCACTCGTTGGGTGTATGTGTGTGTAAGTGCATGGAATATTTGCATAAGAAATTTCAAATTTGCGCTACAATTTATTTTTATTTTAGCTTTTAGTTGAGTTCTGAAACTGTGGAGGTAAATCAATTCGAAAACTTCTGGAAGCTTTCTATTTGTCCCCAAGGAAATATTGATTTTGAAGAGGAGTATTAAAAATATTTCTTTTCATTTCCATCCTAGGCTATAATATCATATAATATATATTTTCAACCATAATGGCAGAAAATGCTACTAAATTTAAGCAGCAAAAATATGTTGCATACTTTGTGGCGTACTATAATTTTAGTGATTGCTTGAAGAATTTTCTCGGTTTTTCTTGAAATATACGTCATTATCGTACTCTCGCTTTATCTATCTGTATAAATCCGTCAAAGTTCTAAATATTTTTTTTTTGTCAAAAAGCTAGAAAAGTTTTTAAAGTCTGCCCTTGCTATGTGCTCATAAGAGGCCTCGATTCACAAGCCATTGGAGTTGAATTTTTTGTTTCTGAAATCACCACAAAATGTTCAATTTCATACTTAAAATTTGAGCAAAAAGTCACTTCTTTTTCGACTGAAGCATTATGGAAAGATGCTGTAAGCAGAATGTACTTTTTTTTTGTAATAAAATATATAGAAAATTAAACAATTATTTAACGTGTGTATCTTTGAAGAGAAACTAAAAGCTTCGCAAAATTTCCTCCAATCGGACTTAAAAAAATCAACAAATCCCTAAATATTTCCGTGAAGTTTTACTTAATGCTTCTCCATCTTCATTTATTTTTTGTAAATATCGGCCTACATCCACCCAGGGCATGCATAAAAGATGAAAAATCTTTTCTACTTAATAACCGTTCGTACAGCTTCTGCAGCATCTTCTATATGGAGCTCTTAGATTTCTGCGTGTTGTCATATCTGACAGTGATCTGTGAACATTCTTACTACTTTTGAGTTGTCCTCGCTTTCCTATCCCATTTCGGCCAAGTTTAAATATACTTGCTGCAGACAGAGTGTAAGACCACCCTGTGCATATGTTCTCCAAGTAGCAGTTCGCAGTTAGAGGGAGGCACATCAATATGAATCAATATCGTCGTGCCTTGCTGGTAAAGTTCGTCTGCCATACAGTTGCTTCTCTATATCTATGCGGCCAGAAATCTAAGTGATAGATAGCTTAATCTGTTTAGCCATCTCTAGTATGCGCTGGTGACAGTCCACTAAAGTTTTTAAATTTGTTCTTAGGAAGCCAAACCAAGTCTTAATACAAATAACTTGGGACCCACTGGCACCTGATGTTCTATTTAACTTTAAGCTTTATTTCAACGCTTTCACAGGAGTATCAGAACCGTTCTAGTTCTATTCCTATTTATTGTAACAGTGTCAAATTATTTTTTATGCTAACCAGAAATGAAGGGCAGATAAAACTGTTTTCTGGCAACACGCTTAATTCTTTGGCAGGATTTGGAAGATCACATGTGAGATCGAGTTTAAGAAGTACCAGTGCCTGAGGGCCGATTTTTATATTTCTTTCTTACAACTTTCACCTTTGTCGTCTGACATAAGAATTTATTAAGAGATCTGGGCCACTTTCGGATGTGTGGGGTATGATGGAGATCTTCTCATATTTAGTTTCTATGTCAGCTTTACAGTTCAAACTCTTGTCTAAAACTATGCTTCGGAATTTTTACTTAACTTTTAGGTATAGGCTGGCAAGTATCTTAGTTCTCTAGGAACAGTACTTTTCAGTACCGTTTAGCGGATAAGTTTGATACACCTCCATTAAGGTCTGTAGGAATAAGAGTTTGAAGATTCAACTATTCTACCCCAATCCGATAAGTAAGAAAAATCTGATATCCATTTGTTCGTATTAAATTTTGGTTTTCCAATGAAGTATTGGCTTCTTCAGAGATGTTTGCAAGTTAGACAAAAAACTACATGTGTAGGTGAAAGTGCTTCTTTCAAAGATTTATGAATAACTTTCAAATTAATAAATTAATTTATTTTAATTTTTTTTACTAATTGTTTTTGGAAACACTCTACACTGAAGCACTATAACGCTAAGCATTATTTTGAACATAATATGAATGCCAAACCATAGGGGTTTCTTAGAAAAAATCTAGGAGACTCAATATGAGAAATAAATTTAATTTATTCATTTTTTACGCGTTGTAGTCTTTAGTACTTAACTTCCTAGAAGTTTTTAAATATTTACCAGTTAGTAGTATTTCCCAAAATTTATTACTTCGCCATTTTCCCACAGTCTCTCAGTTTTTCCGTAAAGGGTTTTTGCGAATTTAATTTAATTAAATGTATGTATTTCTTTTCACTCTACGATGTCTTATGCTCCACCAGACCACCTACAGTTCTATTAATTCTCAGTATATGCAAAAACACCAACACATACTTATACACGTTACATATACACGCACACAGTCAAGAAACACAAAACTAATCCAAGAACTTGATTAAATTTTCTTTGTAGTTTCATGCCACAAAAGCTTTAAAGTAGCGCAAAACAGTAGACGAGGAATAATGAATGCGAAGACGAAAGAGAAAATAAAAATTGCAACTAAGCAAATTACAATTTACACAATTTCTCTATCGTCAATGAGCTGCTTGTTGTCAAGCGTCCATTATATTAAATATGTAGGTAAACACAATCAACTTTTCGCTTTGGCAAATCTACAAGCACACACACCTTCATGTGCATTAAATGCACAGATAGTCTTTCGGTTGGATACTTACCCTGTCCACAACACGAACTCGACATTGTCGCCTTGTCGCGACTTCATCGCTCGCGCCGCTGACTCAATTAGACTCCAAGGACTATCGCAGAAGTAATCGCCAAAACGACCAGGTGACCGTATGGGACTGCTGGGCGATTGGCCGTCGATGCGCCAACAACCTGAGAAGAGAGAAGAAGAGGAATGAAGAAATGTGTGTGAAAAATATAACTAGAAAACCTCGATTTAGAAATGCAAGGTGAGATATTCTTTACTCTGAGCAGGAAAAAACAAACAAAGCATACCAAAGAAGGAAATAAAAGAATATAATAATTTAAATAAAAAATAAGAAAACTTGAAAATAAGTGAAACCGAGACTAACGAGGAATTGGCATAAGCTGTTCAGGTAAACAAGAATTTCAAAGAAAGAATTCACGGAATGCTCTGGCATTTCCTCAATCAGATTAAAAAAAAAGTAAATTTAATAAAATTAAAAGCACTAAAAAGCATAGAAAATTTCTGCTTCAGCCACAAAATGGAATTGGAAAGTTGCAAGCACGAACAACAGAGACTTTTTTCTGCTGACAATGCCGAAAGCTATGTGACCGCCCATCCATTGTCCTAATCGCCAACACAAATTTGGTCGACTTTGCTTTGCGCCCTCTTCCCACCTCTGCCACGCTCTTGCCAGCCACCTCAGTGGCACTTCCGCACCGGTCTTCCTTTCATTTCACTCAAAAGTGCGCCTGAAATTGGAATGAAGTCAGTATCTATATTTGGACACGAGCTTTCTACTTTGCTAAATGAAAAAACGAAAAAATTTAATAAAATAAAATGAAAAATAAAAAAACAAGAGAAAGCAAACAATAACAAATAATGAGGAATAATATAATATAACTAACCAAACTCCGGTCAAGTTAAGCAAATTGCTGTGTGTCGGTGAGGGCACACAAAACGTGCAAAATAAAAGCGCTCGAAAGAGGCAGCGCAGAGAGTTGGAGTGAGAGGAAGCAATGAAAAGAGCAAAGTGCTTTGTGGAATTCGCAATAGAAATAAAATTTTAATTTGATTGAAACAATAACAATTTACAAAAGCAAATGAAAGCCTGAAATCTGCAGTCGCTCCGGGCACGCCGGTGCCAAAATCATAATGAGAAAGAGAATAAAATGAAGGGGAATGAAATAAAAGTGAAAGGTGTTTGCATTTGCGGAAACTGCCAGTTAAGTTTGAGTAGATGACTTGACTTTGGCGAAAGTTTAAATGGCAAGTTCAACGGAAGTTTTGTTTTGTGAAAATATCCAAGCAATAAAAAAAAGGAATTCAGGGTATGACTCCAAACGAAATTATTTGCTTTTGAAACCAATTTTTGGCGTTTTTTAGGATAGAATAATGTGATTTTAATTTAATAACATCGGATAGATGGGAAGTAAAAAGTGCCACGCTTATGGAGCTAGCCTAAGTTTAGGAACTAAATATAAAGTTTTTAGTGCCCTTCAAAGGTCTGAGAACGGTGAAACTCTTACATGGTGTAGAAGTATAGCTTTAAACTTTTTGAGGTTGGTTTCTAAGTGGTGAAGATTTAAATCACAGATACATTCATAAAGTGAGCCGCTTGCCGTAGGACCGAGGCTTGCTCACAGCCGGACTCACGTTGAACAGATGTTGCAGAAAGACTTCATCAAAATCTCAAAACGAACATGTCGAAAGTAGCCACTTTTAATTGGTCTTGACTTAAAGTTGTGTACGTGTAGTTCGCTTCTCGGGAAAGGGTTGCTTACTCGACAATTGCACACTCGTCAATATTTGGGGACGGTAAAGCAGGTATCATTTCACTGGTTTAATTGCTATACCTTTCCCTACATGTTTTACTGTTACAGTCAGATAATTGTAAACATTTTTCATTTGACTCGTTTCCAATTCCTGTTTCACGAATCACAGTATTTAAGTTTTTTCAATTTAATGGCTTTGGTGACCTTTCTTCTAGGAGTTTTGAAACCCGTATGGGTAGCTGCACAATTGATACGTTTCCACATTGCTACGCTTATGAATAATACCCTCCATACACATAATTATTAAACCATGGTCGATTACGCCTGTTATTTGACGCTCGTAACGGCAAATAGAAAATTTATACTTGATTGGAGAAAGTTAGTCTGTTCGTCTGCAGAGATCATCGTGTAGACAGACTTTCAAGGTGTGGCCTCAACAGCTTGACAAGACACAGCTACGCCTCCACGATGTTCAAGTCTATCTAAACGAAACAATTTATAACCGTCAACACAATATGATTTTTTGCTATGCCACGCAGAGAACCAATACTCAAAAACACATGCAAACTCCAATATCAGACGATTCAAAAACATATCTGAATTCATTAATTTTATTAGGTAGGCTTTGTGCATTGAGATGACGACAAATTTTTAAACCCTTATATTGTCTATGTAGCATTCGCACCGTGTTAAATGTGATGTCACAGTCTTGGGAACGCAAGCTCCGAAGACATTGCTTCCCATTATAAAACAACCAGCTACATAAAATTGCTAAGCTACAGCATCTAAAGAAATAATAGACTCAAAGAAAAAAAAAAATTTAACAAACAAAATGTTTTAATGAGAAAAAATGGAGAATAAATTATTATTAGACTTAATTCTAAACTTAAAATAGAGTTGACACATATTTTTTATTCTGCTTATGAGAGCATTCACTTCAGCAGTAGAACATAATAGTTGGGGCTTCTCATTTGGTCATCTCTTCAATGATGGAAACTCTCTGCTCATCAAGTTTTATTACACCAGATGTGGCGATTTGCGGCGTTTGCGGAGATGATGACACTTTGGGTGCGCATTTTTCTTAGTTGTTGACATCATGGAAAGGCAATCAAAGTATCAGGGAAGATGAAAAATCACGTACAAACGATTATATGACAGACGCGGTAATTTTGAATTAAATAGTATCGAAATATTCGTGAAAAACTCGGGAGCGCAGCAAAAAACATGTTACTCGCCCAAGTATATGTCGGTTGCATGTATTAGTTGCATGAGGACTTTGATACATATATATTTATATATAAATAATTTGTGCTTTGTTCAGCGGTTTCGGCGAATTTCCGCCGAGCTTCTCCTCCAATTTGCGGTTTTGCGTCTTGATGTTTTTTCCACCAAATGGAGGAATCTACAGTTTATACTAAGCCGCCTCCGAGCGGCTGATGGTTTGTTTATGAAAAGCCTTATTTGAGCCACATCTGATGTACAGTGATTTTGGTTTTTCACTCCAGGGAACGCAATACGATACGGTCTATAAGGGTTGAGGTGGTAGTAAATCTTTCTCATTAGTTTTAGGCCAACTTTGATAAACTTGGAACGTATTTGAGTTCATCATGGGACGTTTCTTATTAAAAAAGTATGTGAAAAGACCAGAAAGCACCTTCAAAAGCTGTTGCATAGTTGCAGTCTTGACGAGAAATGAGAAAGAATATTTTTGAACTGCGTTAAACAGAAGCAGACCTGTTCATGCTGGAATTGCTTTCATTATTACTGTAGTTTCAACCATGAGAGACCTTATCAGATTCATAAGTAAGTTTAACGAGATTGGAAAAAAGTCATTAGGTTCAGTGCTAATTTTGTGTTTATCGCAAGGGTTACTTTAGCCTAAGTATATCGATGCATGTACTACAGCAACAACTTTTGTCCACCTACCTACCTAAGCTGATTTATTTTTCTATACAAAAATTATATTTAATTACATCACCTCACACGATAATTATTCAAAACATCATCACATAGGAAATACTCTATGAAGATTAGAGGTGAATACTTTTTAATTAAACAAAAAAAAAAAAAACAGTTTCAATTTTTCAGGGATTTTAAGCCCCTTGAATATTTCAATCCTCTAAAGTCTTTCCGATTCTTTTTTTGAAGGACTTCTCGAAGCAAAAGACAAAAGGATTTGTTTCCGGGCGAGTTCAGACGCGAAATTGTTTTACTAAGAATTTCGTAAAATTGATTAATTGGCATAAAATCAGGTGTAAGTATTTCCTGACAAAAATTTCCTTTTTCAAATTCAAAAAAAAAAATTGGTAACACTCTATATTCCTTATTTCGTGAGTCTACTCAGATTTAAAAAAAAATTGCTTCTAATTTTCTTATAAAATTTTTATCTGTTTGATTGATTTTCCGTATTCGGCAAGTGGACCATTTTTATGTTATTGGTTTCAGTGCACGCTCACTACTCCACGAGATCTCCTGTAAATCGCCTTCGCAATTTAGTGTTGCATACTTTACGGCATATCTTTCACTAATAGAAATATATGCAACTGCGCCATTAGAGTCACTACAAAGGAAAATTAGCTTACTATTCTCCTTAGTCGCTTTTCTCTGATTTCCTTACTCGTTTATTTTCTTTATTGAAAACTATGCATTTTGGAGGTCCGTAGTCCAACTTAAAATTTTTTTGTTACTAACACTTGGTAGCCTCATGTTTAGTTTTTGAACCGAAATATCACACTGACCAAGAAGAACCGACTCTTCCAAGCACCAACTATGTCGATGATGAATGACAGAATTTAAGTGAAAATGATAAAGCCTTGCCATGTCAAGAAAACTCTTTTTCGTGAAAAAATGGAGGATATTTTAAGAGTTATTTGCCAGAACATAAGAAAATGCTCTTAATATTTATAAAAAAAAATAAAAATTAATTGCCTTTCAACAACGTTATCTATTTTTACTCACTGTGCATGACATCGCCTTGCGTTGAGTAAAATGTATCCAAATGCAAATCTGTGATGTGCCAAAAATAACCTGGAATGATAAAAAAATACATAAAATTTGTAGTGAAATACAATATATGTATGTGTGTAATAATTGTTCAAAATAATTCTAAAATTCTTGACATATTGTCCACCAATTGTCCGCAAATTATACAGACAAAAAATAGAAAATACTAACAAAATGGACTAAATATATATACACATATATCACTCTTAATAGAATATTGAAATTTAAATACTGTGTTAAAGAAGTACTTGACTCAACGGCTCAGAACTATGACAGCAGCAGACCAACTCAAAGTGAAATAATTTAAAACATCAGTCAAAGTCATTCTGCAGGCTGACATTTAAGGCCACAAAGAGAGCGAGAGAGAGACATGTTGGAATGAAATCAAGACAGTGAAATTTTCGGAAGTAACGAAATAAGGAAGCACAGGTGTTAGTAAGGGGAGGTGGACAAAGCTATGAGCCTCTTCCCATATACATATACACCCACCCACAGGCACATGTATAAAACTACATATGCTAGGGAATTTATATTTTGGTTGAATAAATGTTGATGTGAATTGAAATAAGCATGTATGTGAACAGAAAGTGTTGACATTCCCAGTCACCTAAGAGAATTTGAAATTATATCTTCGAGTGTGTTCTCGTTAGAATGTGCATCCGAATTGACAAATTGTACAACGGTATTACACTTCGTAAGCGGCAGTTGAACAAGTCGCAATTACGTGCTGATACATGCACCATATGTGCAAATGAAAAACATGGAGTCCTGGGAAAACAAGCGCCTTGAGTGCTTGTGCGTATCTTCAATCGCTCCAAAGTGGGTTGACAACTCTTTCGTGTAATGTAAGCGTACTCACTTTTGAACATCTCAAAGGGATCAGCTGGAGTACGAAAACAACAAAATAAGCAAATTGCAATGGAAACTTCCACAACTTACGTATCAACATTTATCACTGGAGATTCATTGTTCATTAGTGCTGTTCCTGGTGTTGATTTCAAGGTGACAAGGTTGCCATTATTGTTAAACTTTTTATTAACATTTATTATTTTCTATAAACTTTACTCTATTTTATTTTATATAATTTTATTTATCTTAATTTAAAATAATTTAATTTAAATTAACTTAATCTAACTAAATTTAATTTTTTTAACTAAATTTGACTTCATTTTATTTTATTTTACCTTATTTTATTTTATTTTATTACTTTTTTTTCATTTTTTTTCTTTATTTCAATTGGTTTTCTAATATTATTTTATTTTAATTTATATAATTTTATTTTATTTTATTTTATTTTATTTTATTTTATTTTATTTTATTTTATTTTATTTTATTTTATTTTATTTTATTTTATTTTATTTTATTCTATTTTATTTTATTTTATTTTATTTTATTTTATTTTATTTTATTTTATTTTATTTTATTTTATTTTATTGTTTTTTATTTTGTTTTATCTTTTTTATTTTATTTTATTTTATTTTATTTCATTTTGATTTATTTAATTTTATTGTATTTAATTTTATATCATATTACTATATTTTAATTTATTTTATTTACTCCCACTGTTCGATACTAAATATATGCTCGTTCCTTTGTATTCACACACTTTAATGTATGTATTTACGCACAAATAGAATGTTTGGGCAAAAATAATATACATTTAATTTCAACACAAATTTCTGCAAATGACGTCAAATACCCGGACATGCGACTTGATGTGACTTTAATTGCAGACGGATATTTTGCGCAACGACATGTTGCGTGGCAATAAAAACACTAGACAACAGCCAAATAATGAAAAATAAACGAAAAGAACGAAAAGTGGTAAAAACACGATAATGAAAGAAAATAGTGACAACAAACCGCCAAGCTGACTTTAAATAAAATAGCAGCAACAATGTTGGTTTGTTCAACAACTAAAGCAACAAAACACAAAAACAGCAAAAGACAATCGCAACATAAGCGGATAAATATGTATGTAAGCGCACAGTGTTGAGGAAGTAGGGAACAACAGCAACCAACCCTGCAACAATTGAAAACACTTGTACTATTCAGTTGTAAATATGTGTACATGTGTTTGTATGCAACTGAAAGAAGCAAGGACGCGAAGTTGCCTACAGCATTCAACCAAATAAGAGGCAAAATGGCAAAAAAAGTTAGAATGAGAGAATTGGAATTTGTTAACGGAATGACGGCAAGGACACATTGTCTGCAGTTGTCTGCATTATTTCAAAAACTTGCAGATTAAAGCCTTTTACGTCAGTTATGCTTGTGTGTGTGTGGGTGCATATGCGTATATGCAGCAGTTCTTTTTCTTCTTTGCACTTTCTTTCTCTCTTAGCTCCATAATTCCAGCAATTTCTTTGCATTTGCTGGCAGCGCCTATTCAAGTTTTGCGCTTTTCAGCCGCCTTTTGCCGTTTTATTTGTCTCTAAGCCTTCTGTCAAGTAGCTAAGTGTATGTGAATTGTTGCTCCATTTCCTTTGATTTACACCTCTTGCACTCAGACGCCTACACGCACCAATAGAACAATTTACAAGGAATGCCTTAGACACATACTTTTGTATGGATGCCAGCAAGTATGTAGGTTTTAATGAATGTATGCGTGTATAATGCCACTTTACTTGGTTGCCTCTATGCTTCTTCATTACACTTTTACCATACCATAAGCACACATATGCACCACACTCACTCATATCTCCATTTGAGAGTATTGTCACTAATGCCAAAGTCAGTGCTCTACTGATCTGCTAAGAAGACTCAGTTATATTCAAAAAACAAATGCCGTAAAACTTTATTTGAGATTGCCTTTCTTTATTCTTTTTCTTTGCTTTTGTAGAAGTAAGTGGACTGGACTTGACCTGAGAAAGGAAATTTTTTCATTACCACAATTATTATTTTATTTTCTTGATCTGCACATCAGATTATTTTCATTCCGAGTTTGCTCCTATTTAGCACAAATGTCTGTTCCTTAAAAAAAATATTTCCAAATATTAACAAACTCTTCAATCTTTCTTAGAGATCACAAGTCAGGCTTTCAAAAATAAATAAGTTGATTGAAAACTTATACCATAGGTGGCGATGAGGCCGAAATAATCGTAAAGCTTTCTTATATAAGGTTTGTTTATTGAGCTACTCTAGGTTACACCAGATTGCCCTATTTCAAAAAATTGTGTTTCATAAAAATTCTTTGCTTTTATTTGCTCTACTTTTTGGTTCATGAACTTGCTTTAAGCAGAAAAAGAGCAACTCAGATCACGATTTTCTGCACTGATTTTTTTGGTAGAGTAACTTGGAGCAGGCAAAACGATTTTTTTTGACAGACGTGTTTAAAACACCATAGCGGGCAAAATATAAAAAAGGGATGTTTGCGGGGCACAGCAAACAACTTAAATACAAGTGACGATAAAAATTAAAAATTTTATTTAGAAATATATAAAAAAAAAAAAAATTATAAAATTTTTATATTTTGCTTACAATACAAAAATCACACATTCGCATTTGAAAATTGTGGGCCGAAAAATGCTTCATGTGCTTTTTGCTCCGAGTTGCTCAAACTTGCTCTATTGTTTTATTGCCAGCTGCTCTGTATCGCTCAACCTTGAGCTGTTCTACTCTATTTTCAGTTTCAAACTTATTAACTCTAGAGAAGGTGCTACGCTATGAACATTTGCTCACGTAATTTTTTAGTCGCAAAAATTTCTATGTTTTATGTTATTGCAACACTTGTTACGCTCATTCTCTGAAGGATTTTCAAATATTTGACTATAACATTTATAAAAAATACAAATAAAAAACTCTTTCAATATTTAACTGATTTTGTTTTTAATGACTTTTTTAGAATTCAAACCAAAACTCCTTGCAACCGTTCTAGTATATCTCATTCGCCTGAGGTTACTGTTGATTTTATGTGCCGTAATGCGCAATAGTTTATTGGGTGGTAGCTCTTTTTGAAACTAATTTTAAGTACGAAATATTATTGTATATTTAAAATAAGTTTCTTGTTTACTTAATGATCTTAATTAACGTTGAAATTATTTTTTTTGCTAAACTAAAGAAAAACTAAATAGGTGGCAACCTTTTAAATTAATTTATTAATAGTGAGTTACTTTTTAACTTTGTAATAAACTCATTTTTAAAATTTGTTCTTTCGCATTGATTTTTTCTTAATATTGATGGTACGAAAATGTGAATCAATCGTTTTTAAAGTCCTTCCTATTCCAATTGCTATCCAATGGATTTTTATACCAACTTTAACGTTTCCCTTTTCATCCGTAAATCATAATTTCTTTGTGTTAAAGGGTTACGATGGTAGAAAATCTGTCATGGAGATCGCCATATTTTTACAAACGGTATTTATGTAATAAAGTATGGTGGTGTCCATGACTGATCTTCTCCTGCCCTCTTAAAAAGATGTCTGCAATGTGATATAAAAAAAACCTTACCAATAACAGAGCGTGGCCGGGTCAGCCCGAATACTAAATTCTCATTTCATATATATTTCTGCTTGTAGCCTAGTACTGAGTGAACTAAATTTTTTGTGTGACTAAAAATTAAATCTAGCTTTGTATCAGTGAAATATTCTTATTTGCTTTTATTGAGAGCCATTAGTTAGCTCTTTAAGATAATCAAACTTCATCGTTCAAATTCCTGTGGGCCGACTTTCTCTGAAGCCAGTCTATATAAAATATTACATATATATTATTTATTACTTTTTTTCGAGTTATGAATTAAAGATTAAAACAAAAATTGTGAATATATGGAGTTAGTTCTACAATTACATAACTCATATAATAACCACTTAAAAATAATATACTCTCACTGTCTTCGCGCTCAATTCTCTCATCGTATAGGCTATAGTAGGGTTCATACTTCTTTGAGCGACGACATAACGTTTCTTAAAAAAACTAGAACTTCAATACACTCATACATATTTATGCCATTTCAGATTTTTTTATTCAATCAGCCTCTCTCTCTCCCCCTCGCTCTGAATCTGTTTGCTGACAACTCCCGACTGAACTTTA